CTTGAGAAAGACGGTGTCTCATGCATATCTAGAGACTCATCTTCGTGAGTTCCATGCATGGTTCTTCCTTCGAGGACCACTGACCATTTCTCATTACATGGATCCCTGACATAAAAAATTTGTCTTGCTTGATATGCCATAATATAAAAGGTTCATCCTTATAACCGACCTTGTTCAAATCAATCAAAGTAAATTCTAAATCATCTGTCCGCACACCCGTATTGCCATCAACCCATTTACACTTGAACACAGGCACTCTAAACGTAACATAATCAATTTCCCATATGTCTTGTATGACTCAGAAATAACTCATAGATGTTGTAATGTGATTTTTATCTTTAGAACTAGCAAAGTGCACAGCCTCAGCCTGAATTGTAACCCCACTATTTTGTGCTCTACTTTTGTCATCTTCATAATACCAAATATAAATAGGTGATCACGTATTTCCCCAACTTCCTAACGTATTTGATTCAAACAACGAACACATGTATAATAATATGCCCCTTTGATGGGTTTCCCATTTTCTATTGCAAATTGCAAGAACTCTTCAACTCCATTTCTGTACTCTTGACTAATGCGACTTGCACTCATCCAACTTCGATTCATTATCTATATATAAACACAAATTAACTATAGACTCAGTTATTCAAAATTTTTCTAACCTAAACTACAACCCTAAAAAATCGATAGTAATTTCGGATAAAATCGATAAATATTTCTACTAATACGATGATAAACTAAAGGTCAATGTCTAAAAAGTCCTTCTTTAATGCATCTGGAACGGCTTGTTCTGAAACCAGAACGGGCCATTCCAGATACACAATTAACACAAATTTAATGCGTCTGGAATGACCCATTCTAAAATCAGAGCGGCCCGTTCCAGCTGCAATACTTTTGTGTTAATTGTTTATCTAGAACGGCCCATTCTGGTTTCGGAACGACACGTTCTAGATCAACAATTAACAAACAACAAATTCAAGAAGAACGGCCCTCAAACGTGGAATGTGCAGACTCTTAGAGACTTAGAGAAACATGGAATGTGCAAACAAACGAACGAGAAGAACTAAACAGTTTTTGTAAACAAGGCGCGCGTGGGAAGAAAGTGAAACGTTGGGGGCATATATTCACTAATTTACGTCGGACCCCCCCCTTTCCGACGTAAATTAATCACCTTTTATTTACGAAAATGCCACCGCGTATTTATAACGTCGTATTTTTGTTTTTCTGACGTAAATTAGGTGACGTAGTAACCTATTTTTGCAATAGTGAATCTATCGAAATATCTTTTCAAAGATAAAATTGTAACAATCTAACAAATATAAAAATAGACAATTATTTAGAAACAATCCTAACAATGTCAATGAATTTGAGGTTGAAACATATTGACACTAAAAAGGAGGTTTAAGTTACTCTCACCTTTTAATTAGCCTGACTAGGATGCTTGGTATGCAAAAAAAATTCCCACATCATTGAATACCAAGGTGAATAATACCTAGAATAAGGTGACCCTTAACAATGCTAGTAGACTTGAAATTAGATTCAAAACTAAAACATAATATAATCTAGACATATAAATACTGTAAAATTTAAAATAAGTTTATGTTGATTTCTTTCTTACACAAACATATTACTCGGCAATAAGCTAGCTTTATCAACTATTACATCATTTATCAACTTTCAATTAGATGATATTTTTTTTTAAAATTTTATCCTTAGATTAAAATTTTCTTTCACCTAGATTATATACAAAATTTTATATTAATCTAAAATTATTTAAAACCTCAATTAATTTATATAGACTAAAATTGATGTAATATATTAATATTTCAAAATAGAGGAGGGTTCAAATGATACCAGTATAATTTTTACTAAGTATTACACCGTTCAATAATTTTATATTAAATGTGAATTTTATAAATTTAACCGTTGAATTATAACTTCATATCACTTTATATATTTATATCAAATTTTGTTAAAATTGAATAACAACTTGAAAGTAATCAAAATATTCACATTTTATTATTCTTTGAAATGTATATATTACGTCAATTTTATTTTATAAGAATGAAGTATTAAATCATCTTGAATTAATATGAAATTTTATATATATGACCTAAGAGTAAAGAACTTTTAATCTAACAATTTGATTTATAATAAAATTCACATTTAATATAAAGTTATTGAACGATGTAATACTTAATAAAATATCAGTGTCGTTTGAATCCTTCTCTTCAAAATATATTAAAATATAATAAATTTGATTACCTTTTTGACATATTTGATGTAAACATTCAAGGTAAAATAAAATAATTCAACGATAAAATTGAAAAATTTATATTGATATAAAGTTTTTAATTGTGCAAAAGTTAGCTGAAGCAATACTAATCTAATTTGATCTCTCCACACACGTACATATATATTTTATAGTATATAAAAAAGTATGTTTTATAAAAACTTGAACTTTGCAATAGCCATCAAAATTTACATACACATAATACACATATATGTTTTATAATATATAAAAAGATTATATTTTATATAAAAAATGCTTTAAACTTGAACTTTATAATAGCCATCAAAATTTAGTAGACCTAATCACATTTAATGAAACATTAAATTACCCACGATAATGATATTTATTGTATAATTTAATAATAAAAAAATAATAGATTTAAATATAGTTTTGGTCCTTATAGTTTGACAATTATATTATTTTTGTTAAATTAAAGGACGATTTAAGACCCTTCAAAGATTATGTTTTAATGTTAATGTAATACCCCAGTTTTCATCATACCTTATATTAATAATAGTTTAGAAATTATTTCAGTATGTTAATGTATTTATTTTGAAATTTTTGGTACTATTTAAGTATTCATATGAGCATTATTTTGTTATAAAGCATGATTTGAAATTATTATTTTGATATTTAATGTAACATCTTTTGATGCACTTTCTACGTCAAGTGTCATCCACATGACATAGAAAGTGGTACAGTGACATAGTTGTAAATATGCTAAAATATTTTATGAAGGATGTTGACTTACTCGTTATAGAATATTCTTTCTATGACAGATAAGCAAACACTTGTGATAGAATGCATTGGTAAGCCTTTGATTAAAAACATGCTATGATAGGTTTTGATTTACCTGTCATAGAAAGTTCACATTCTATGATGGGTAAATTGTCACCTGCTATATAATGTCTTGTTATTAGGTCACTAATGAGGGCACGAAACCATTTGTGCTCTCTACTATTCTTTTTTTTTTTTTTTGGTGATGAAGTTGTGATTGAAATGATTTTCAACGAATCCTCCATGCATGCTACCCATTGTTTCAGAAAACCACTATGACTACTACATTCTACGACCACTACTTTTGTTCATTTCACGTGACCTTTTTCCGTTCTCCTTCACGTATGCTCCTAAGTTCAAAGGTTTTTCCTCTTTCTTCCAATGCTTTAAGGGTTTATGGTGGATAATGTGGTTTTGTTGAGAACTCTATTCTTCCATGTTCTTTAGTTCGACAATGCAATAATCTCTATTCTCTAACGATACAATAATCTTTTTTCTCTAAGGATGCAACACTCATTTGCACGCTTTTTTTATAAGTTTTTAAAGTTTTTTTTTTGTTTTTTTTATAATGTTACTTGTTATAATATTTTGTATAATTACTTGTTATGTATAATATTTGTTATTTTAATTATTAACATGACTCCTATTTTCTTCTTATAGACACTCTGGCTAGCACATGGTACCATCTCATTCCAGGAAAAGGGTTAAGCAACCTATCATATTGAAAGACCTAACTACTAGCCAAAATAAAGACAAGCTAAAACACATTGACATTGATATGTTGACAAGCCTTACATATAGGTTGCATAAGCAGCGATTTCACAATTTGTAGCCTTGATTGCGAAGAGCAATATTTCCATTACTTATGAGAGTTAAGACCATGTCCTCGAGAGCATGAAGAACCAAATATGACAGATTATCATGGCATGAAACATTTTTTTTTATATAAAATGATTGTTAATTATATATTGCATATTTACTAGCAAAATTGTTATATATCCAACTCACTTATGACATTCCCAATCACTACAAGAAAAATGCTAATTTTCGACGGAAACAAGTAAATTTCTGACGAATTTAAATCCGTCGAAAAAAGTGACGTAAAAAAAAAAATCCGTCAAAAATAATTAATCCGTAAAAATTTTTGATAGAAAATTCTGTCAAAAATTATAATTCTTTTTAATTTTAATAAATTTATTAATGTAACAACCCTCATATTTGGCCTCTCAAGGATTTTATTTCACGTACGACAGTTCACTTTTTAACGTGTTTTATCCTTACTTGTGCAATTTTTGAGAAATATCCCAGAAGGTAACCCATCCCTATATTACCCCAGGTCAAGCACGCTTAACTGTGAAGTTCTGATGAGCTACCACCTTCTTTACTTTGCAACGATTGCATAAGTTAAAGGAAAATTTTAGAAGGATGTTTACTTCCGACGAATGGTTGCAATCAAAAGGAGCCAAAGAAGCTAAGGGGAAGAAAATATCGAATATTGTTCTTATGCCTACATTTTGGAGTGATGTTGTTTATGCTTTAAAGGCTATGGGGCCTATTGTACACGTGTTGAGGTTGGTAGATAATGAAAAAAAACCGGCAATGGGTTACATTTATGAAGCAATGGAGAGGGCTAAGGAGGCAATTCAAATTTCTTTTAATCATAATGAAGAAAAATATAAGGATATATTTGCAATTGTTGATAGAAGATGGGATTGTCAACTCCATCATCCGTTGCATGCAACAAGATATTATCTAAATCTTGAGTTTTATTATAAAAATTCAACAAGAATGGGTGCTGATGAAGTGGTGGATGACCTTTTCAAATGTATTGATAGACTTTGTGAAAATAATGACATTGTAGACAATGTTCACAATCAATTGGCAATATATAAAAGGGTAGGAGGAAGATTTGACATTCCTGCAACAGTTAGAGCAAGGGTTAAAATGGCTCCTGGTAAGTGGGACTTTTCTTAAGCTTCAACTTCACTTACAAATTTTATAGTTATTTGATAATTTATTTATATAATAATATTTGCATTTATAGCTGAGTGGTGGAAGATGTATGGAGGACATACACCACATTTGCAAATTGTTGCCATTAAGGTACTAAGCTTGACGTGTAGCTCATCTGGTTGTGAGCGTAATTGGAGTACCTTTGAGCATGTAAGTTAATGAATTAGTGGATTTAAATTTGAGTTTACTATTGAAAATGGAAAATTAACTAACATCATGTTGTTAAATTATTATAGATTCACTCAAAGAAGAGAAGTAAGCTTGAGCACCAAAAGCTTCAAGACTTGGTTTTTATTAAATATAATCAAGCTCTTCAAGAACGCTTTGAGTGTCAAGATCCAATTGATCCAATTGCTTTGAATGAAGTTGATGATAACAATGAATGGATGTTGGGAGAAGAAAATGATGAGGATGAATTTGAAGATGACTTGGTGTTTGATGATGATGTTTTGACTTGGAGAGATGTTGCCCAAGCAAGTGGTGCCGGTGAACCTTTGAAATACACTAGGAGACAAACACAAGTGAACAAGACATCAACAATTGCATCTACATCCAAGAAAGATAAAGGAAAAAAAGTGATGGAAGTACTAGAAGACGAGGATGATGATGTAGAGGAAGAAGAAGAATATAATTCTAATGCTAGTGGGAGTGATGAATTTGAGGGAGAGGAAGACTTTAATCTTGATGAGGAAGAAGATTAAACTATAATGTTTAATTTTTTACTTACTTAGAGCTTTAACACTTTGTTTTGGAGACATTTTATATTATGTATTGTTTGAGTACTATGAACTTTTAATTATTAAAAATGTTTAATGCATGAATTTAGAGTTATTTTTTTGTTTTTTTTAGCTTTTATATATATATTATTAATTATTTAATATATATAAATTAATATTTAAATAGCGGTTATCCCGCTCCGCGTCATCCCGCTATCCCAGTTTT